GGGCGTGGGTGGGAGGGCGGAGACCCTCAGGTGTGGGCGTGGGTGGGCAGATAGAGGCCCTCAGGTTTGGGCATAGTGGGTGGGACAGGTAGAGGCCCTTGGGCACTGAGGCACAGAGGCTGGGGTGAATTCCTCTACCTGGGCCAGCACAGGCACCAGCAGAAGGTGGGGTAGGGCCCTGACACCCTCAGGGGCACGCTGGGGGGCCCCGTGGGAGGTTGTTCCACTGAGCAGGGGGCCTGGAAGGGAGCTGGGCAGCCTGGCCCTCCCTACTCTCCCAACCTGGTGTCCTCAGGGCCCTGAGAGGGGACCCTGCCCAGGACTAAGCCCAGAGGATGGAGTGGAGAGGGCGGTACAGGCTGGAGGTGGCTCTGCGGGGAAGCCCGGCCAGCGGAGATGGACAGGGGCTCTTTGGCCACGTCCTCCCACGTCCTCCCATGCCAGAGGCTGGCCAAGTCCACTGACCTGGGCAGAGCTGCCCCCACCACTCACACACAGCTTCAGTCCCCTCTGGGCGGCAGGGTCCTGGGAAGACAAGCCGGGGTCGAGGGGTCTGGGCGGTGGACCCAAGAGTGACCCCGACGTGCTCCGGCCAGGGTCAGCACCCCGCACTACAGCCCCGGGCTCCTCATCGAGAAGAGTGACGTCTACACCAAGGTGTACTCCCGTGCCGGGCTCGCCCTCATGTGGAACCACGAGGACGCGATCATGGTGCTCAGGGGCCCCGGGCTCAGGCTGGTGGCGGCTCCGTCAGGCCTCTGGGTGGACCCCAAGGGAGGGCAGGGCGGGCAGGGCTCTGACCCCTCACCGAGAGGGCGGGGTGGGCAGGGCGTCAGCGCTGGACTTGGGGGGCGGCAGCAGAAGCCGGCCTGGCCCTGACCCCCAGGCCTCACCTTCCCCCAAACGCACTCAGCTTCCCGGGCACCTGCCCTCCCTCCTGTCCCACCTTCCTCTGGCTCAAATGAGCAGCGAGTGGGATCCTGGCCGCAGTCCTGGAGGCCAGCTCACCCGCTCCCTCCCCAACAGCTGGAGCTGGACAGTAAGTTCCGGAACCACACCTGTGGCCTCTGTGGGGACTACAATGGCCTGCAGAGCTACTCGGAATTCCTCTCTGACGGTGAGGCCCAGAGGACTTGGCAGGGGTGGGGTGGGCTGGGGGCTCCCGGGAGCCCAGCTGAAGGCCGTGCGTCCCTAGGCGTGCTCTTCAGTGCCCTGGAGTTCGGGAACATGCAGAAGATCAACCAGCCTGACGTGCAGTGCGAGGACCCCGAGGAGGAGCCGGCCCCAGCGTCCTGCGCCGAGCACGTGAGTCCCCCGTCCCGGGTGGGGGTCCCCCGCCCCGGGTGGGGGTCCCGGTGGAGCTGGCCTCTAGGCAGCGTGCTCACCCACGTCCATTCCCAGCGCGCCGAGTGTGAGAGGCTGCTGACCGCCGAGGCCTTCGCCGACTGCCAGGACCGGGTGCCGCTGGAGCCGTACCTGCAAGCCTGCCAGCAGGACCGCTGCCGCTGCTCCGGCGGGGACGGGCACAGGGACGCCTGCGTCTGCAGCACCATGGCCGAGTTCTCCCGCCAGTGCTCCCACGCCGGCGGCCGGCCCGGGAACTGGAGGACTGCCTCGCTCTGCCGTAAGCGCTGGTGCCCTGTGGGCAGGGGACTCCAGGGGGGACCCATGCTGTCCCCCCTCACCTCGGGCCTCTGCGGTTGCAGCCAAGACCTGCCCCGGGAACATGGTGTACCTGGAGAGCGGCTCGCCCTGCATGGACACCTGCTCGCACCTGCAAGTGAGCAGCCTGTGTGAGGAGCACCGCATGGACGGCTGTTTCTGCCCAGAAGGTGCGTGTGGAGGAGGCCCCGCCCGGCACTGCCCACTGGGCGAGACGCCTGCAGCCCTGGCCTCGAGTTCTCGCCAGGGGGACAGCTCCGCTGGGTGGTGGGGGCAGCGGCGCCACAGAAGTGCCTCTCCCTCCACCCAATACCCGGGCGGGTCCAGGGAGAAGGGGCCTCGGTGTGAGGCTCTTCCCCAAGGATGGCTTCAGGGAGGCCGGGAAGGGGGCTGCCTTCTGGTCATCACCCTGGGGACAGACCTCCTCCTGCCCGGCCCCTGGCCCGGAGCCTGGAGGCCTTTGGGAGGAGCTCGGCTGTCAGAGGCGGGAAGGTAGCCTGGATGCTGGGGCCCCAAGGCCGGACCCCAACCCAGGGACCTGGTCCCAGGTGGGGACCGCAGGCATCAGCCCAGAGGGCCGAGTGGCCCCCCAGTGGGGATTCTGGCTCTTTCTGAGCTAGCCAGGTGACGCTGCCTCCCTGGCCGTCCCAGGCACCGTGTATGATGACATCGTGGGCGGCGGCTGCGTTCCCGTGAGCCAGTGTCACTGCAGGCTGCACGGACACCTGTACACACCGGGCCAGGAGATCACCAATAACTGCGAGCAGTGGTGAGTCCCGGGCCAGGGCTGGCACGGCAGGGGCGGGGGCGGCAGGGCCCTGACCCCGTGCCCCCCACTCAACAGCGTCTGCAACGCTGGCCGCTGGGTGTGCAAAGACCTGCCTTGCCCTGGCACCTGCACCCTGGAAGGCGGGTCCCACATCACCACCTTTGATGGGAAGAAGTTCACCTTCCACGGGGACTGCTACTACGTCCTGGCCAAGGTAGAGGCTGCCCAGGGGCTGGGGCGAGGGGCAGAGCTGGGCTGGCATCCAGGCCCTCATCTGTCTGGGGCTGGTGGGCCGGCTGTCCCTGAAGCACAGGGTGCCCGTGGGCTGTCCCGGGGCAGGCGACGGGGCTTCTGCTCTCTAGCTGGAGGATGAGAAGTGGGCCTTCCCTTCTAAGCCACCACCGGGTCCTAGGGCGCAGGGTGCTGCCCGCCCTGGCCCTCAGCAGCTACCCTGCCTCCTGCCCTGTCACAGGGTGACAATGATTCCTATGCCCTCCTGGGCGAGCTGGCCCCCTGCGGCTCCACGGACAAGCAGACCTGCCTGAAGACGGTGGTGCTGCTGGCCGACAGGAAGAAGAATGTGAGTGGCCTCGCCCTCTCCTTCTGGAGCCCTGGGTCCCCCGAGGGGGCCCTTCTCTGCCCTGACCACCCTCGGCCCTTCCCCAGGTGGTGGTCTTCAAGTCCGACGGCAGCGTTCTGCTCAACGAGCTGCAGGTGAACCTGCCCCATGTGACTGGTGAGTAGCGCCCAGGGAGGAGCCGGGGCCCTTCAAGCTCCACGCGGCCTGCAGTGATTTGGGCAGTCCAGCCGCCTCCAACCCAGGAGGCTGGGTGGGAGGATCCCACACTGGGAGGGTCCCTGTGGCGTCCCGCAGGCTCCGTCCTGGGTCCCGTGCTGGAGGGGGTGGTGGGAGGGCGGCACCTTCCGGCTGCCCACCTGGGGCTGGCAGGTCCCGGGACTCCGCCCCTTGCCCCGCCCATCTCCCTGCCGCTCACCTTGCCCCTCACCGTGCCCCTGCCCGCAGCGAGCTTCTCCATCTTCCACCCATCTTCCTACCACATCGTCGTGAGCGTGGCTGTCGGCCTCCGGCTGCAGGTGCAGCTGGCCCCGGTCATGCAACTCTTCGTGACGCTGGACCAGGCCGCCCAGGGGCAGGTGCAGGGTGAGTGGCCCCACCGAGCTCGCCCCCACAAACGCCCATAGGGGGCCCTGCCCTGCCAGCCCCAGACCCTTCCCAACCCGCCCTTGCCCCTCAGGGCTCTGCGGGAACTTCAACGGCCTGGAAGGCGATGACTTCAAGACAGCCAGTGGGCTGGTGGAGGCCACAGGAGCCGGCTTCGCCAACGCCTGGAAGGCACAGTCCAGCTGCCGTGACAAGGCGGACTGGCTGGACGACCCCTGCTCCCTGAACATCGAGAGTGGTGAGGCTTGGCAACGCGGGCGCCCGCCCAGCCCACCTGGGGGACCCACTCGTGGCCTCCATGGGTAGATGGGGCTCCAGCTGGATGCGTGTGTGGGAAGGGCAGTTAGGCGGCTCTCCCTATGGGGCAGCACGGCACCTTCGACTTCCTGCTGGGGCTGGTTTATGGTGGCCATGGTGGCAGCCCGCCAGGTGACCCGGAAGGGAGCCTGGGCTGGATCCTACTGGGATGCTGGGCCCTGGGTGAGAGGTGGGAGGTGGTGGGTGCCCTGCAGGGGGCTCTACCCAGCCTAGGGCTGCCTGGAAATCTGATTCCGGGGGAGGAAGCGGACTGGGCGTGGGTACACAGGGGGAATCATGTCTGGGTTCCAGGGGATCTCATGGGGGTCCCAGGTCCCACTGAGGTTCCGATACCCACTCCCCAGCCAACTACGCTGAGCACTGGTGCTCCCTCCTCAAGAAGACAGAGACCCCCTTCGGCAGGTGTCACTCGACCGTGGACCCCGCTGAGTATTACAAGGTGGGTGGGACCTGCACCCCCAGCCCCCCATGCCGTTAAGATGGACTCAGGGCACCCCGGCCCCCCATGCCGTTAAGGTGGACTCAGGGC